AAGGTGTCTGTTCTTTGATAAATGAAGCATGTAACCTTAGTGCCTTGTAAATATTGCAACACTTTCTAATGTGTTTCAATTGAGAAGTCCGGGATTGCTTCTGGTATCGACCAAGCTATACCAACATACAAATGCTATGTCAGGTCGTGTATAAACTTGAGCATACATAATGCTCCTAACTGCAGAGGCATTAAGGAATTTCCTTTCATTGTTCCTTTCTAAATTTATTTTCTGGACACTAAAATTCACTTAAATTTATCACCCTTTAACTATAGGGCAACAACTTGAACAGTTCTTGGCATGTTGAACTTTTAAGAACTTTTCCGATATAGGCTCTTTGAGACAATCCTAGATAATACCGTGGAATCTATCGATGATTTCTATCCTTAATGACAAAAGAGGCTTCACCAAATCCTGTCATTTCAAAAATTCCTCGTAATGGAATTGCCTCACCCAAATTATTTAAATATTCTAACAGCAATATATTCATCAACATACAAAACTATAATGCATATTTTGCTCCAACCATAATTTTAAGATGGAACACATTGATCAACAAATTATCCTTAAAGATCACAATTTGGGAGAACTTCATGGAAATTTAAGATACCATTGTCGAGATGCTTGCTTTAGATCATATAGGACTTCTTAAGCTAACAGAACCACTATTTTCCTTGCTTTCATCCTGAAACCTTCATGTTAGTCCATATAGACCACTTCATGCAATCACCATCAAAAAGCCATGTTTTACGTCCATTTGATGTAACTCGAAATCCTAATGAGCTACTAAGGCCGATGACTATTCTCAAGGAATTTTTATAGAAACAAGGAGAATAAAGTTTCCTATAGTCCTCCTTCTCTTTGAGTTGTATTCCTTAGAAGACTAATCTGGCCTTGTATCTTTCACAATTGCCTTTAGGATCACCCTTGGTTAAAAAACCCATTTGCGTCCAACAGTTTGGCTCCCTTTAGGCACTATTCTACCAGATCCCTGAACATGTTGTCTTTTAATGGATGTTTAACTCATCTTTCATGGCATTTACATTTAGTTGCATTTCCATTTTTTTCATGGCTTCGGCATAAGAACAGGATTGTTCTCCAAGCCTATACACACTCATTTTAGAGTAACCTCATTAGTCATCTGACATGGCTGGTTTTCTTTTCTCTTTGTGATCTGCATGAAAGTGTTTTCTGCAATTGGGAACAACTTTCATTTTCAATGTGAGAAATCTCTTGAGACAACATTCAATAATATGTTCAGGCACTTCTTGATTTTTTTGGATAATCGTGGAAGGCGTAAAAGCACGGATTTCTCCACGGAACATTTTTGGAAAATTCAAACTCCCACTAAATGTTTTCACCTCTAGACATAGCATTTCTAGTTTTCACAATCTCGTGCTTATGAGTGGGACAAGAGTAATCGAAACCTTTTTGATCTCTCAGGGATTATCCAATGAAATAACAATTTATAGTCTGGGTTACCTGTACCTTTATTTTGTGGTTAAATTTTTTGCATTCCCAGCGGAACAACCCCGTATATGTAAATAAATCAATTAGGGTTTCTTACCAACCCAACAACCCATAAGGAAGTTAACAGGCACAACCTTACTAGGAACCGCTATTAAAGAACACGTTAAAGCTTCACCACCACAAGTAACTGGCTAAAGAAAGTTACTCATTATGCTTCTCATATCATGTCCAAAAGAGTATGGTTTTCGTCGCCCAGCTACACATTTTGGCTTAGGTGTACCGGGCATTGTGTAGTTAGCAACAATACATTCCACTAAAAAAGCAAAGCAACTTGGATTTTGACGCCGACTTCATTGAATCTACCATAATATTCAACCGTCTCTTGGAGCATCCTTAGGAGGATTTTAATCTAGTCTACCAAGTTGATTTTCAACTTCATCTTTGTAGAGTTTGAACTAATCAATGCTTCTGATTTTCACAAAATGAGATACACATAAGTAATAACTAGAAAAGTGGCATCAATAAAGTAATAAAAATATTGTATGTCCAAAAATAGTTGAGAGCAGACATCAACAGGGGACTAATTGAACATATATCAGTATGAATTGTGTTCTAATAATCAGTAGTCCTAGTAGCACACCTTTTCTTTTGTCTTGTGTATTTTCTTTAAGTGCAATTTCACGACAAGTACTAAAACTCAGAAAATCAAGTGAACTTAAAATTCTTCTTTAATAGATGTTCCATCCTTTCTCTTGATATGTGGTCCAAGCACTTATGCCACGAACATGAGTGAATTTTCATTACCACTCATTTTCCTTTTTTATCTTACCAAATGTTTACATGAAAGGATAAAAGAGAATTTGTGCATAAGTGGAATCTAATTAATAAATAAAGATTATCATATTAAAGTACCAAAACAATCATATGAGAATTGTGAAATAAAGAGACTCTATTATTTCGCAAACTTAAATTCATAACCAAACAGAATCAAGTTGTGAAACATAAATTGGTTTTCTAGTAAAAATATGAACATAAAACTGCGTTTAGCTAAATCAAAATAAACTAGAGTCGTAAAATTAGACGGAGGGTGCCAATAGCCTCAGCGTTCCACTTCATTCCAATTCCAACTGTAAATGGTTCGTTCTCCCTTTATTTAGTTTCCGACTTGTAAGGTACTCCTGCATGGAATTTGTTATGTGAATACTTGCGACCAGTCGTCATCCACCAAGAATTTGGTGGAACATCTGACAAAAGATTCATAAGATACAAGGCTTGAGTTTTACCTTTCTTGTCCAAACCAACTTTTAAAACATGGATTAGTCTATTCTTTGATTGACCTTCTTTCGATAGACAATGACATCGAATGTATTTTCCTTTCATAGGCCTTGCGAGTTTCATATATTGCATTCTTTCTTCTTCTTACTTTTGCCTTTCTTGAAATCTCTTTTTGGTTGAAACCCAGTGGTAAGATGAGCATATCAGGCTTTCAGGCTTTAAGCCTCTATTTCTTCTTGACACATACACATTCGCATTAATTTGCTGCCATCTTTCCACTTGAATCTTTTCTGGTGTATTATAATTTGATCTTGAGAAGGACCAAATGCGCAGGAAGAGAAGTCATATGAAATGAATAAGAAAACTTTCAGAGAATTTCCATGTTCATTCCCTTTAATTGAAGAGGCCAGCATTCATCGTTTCAGAATATGTCACGAACAACACTCAAACCATCATATTTCCATTGTCACAATTTAATCAAAGAGTAACTAACAAGGGATTTGGAAGTTCGATGAATTGTTCTTCAATAGATTTCTCATATAGCTCAGTGCACTTTTAGAAAACAGGGATTGCTCTTTTCAATTGTAGGTGTAATTGAGCCCTTCATAATCATAGACTTAAGCGATTAGAGTGTTCCCATTTTTCATAGAACAGCCAATGTGATCCTTAGAACTTGTATCAGTTAGGCTTTGTCAGGAGCTGGCCTCTTAATGCATAGATCTAAATCCATATCCAAAACATATCCAATTGTTCATTTCAATTCTTAAAATTAGTTCCATCCAAAGCTTCAATCAGCAGACAAAGTAAACTATTAATGCAGTAGGATTCAATGCTCCAAACCACTAATATCTGATTACATAATTTAATCAAGAAAATCTACTTTCACCAGTGTCATGAATAAAAATAACACCACAAGTTAAATATTCAACTAGAAACACAATTAATTAGATATGAAATGTCAAGGTTATCCTTCCGTTGAGCGAATAACAATATATTTAGGCAATTCATAAAAGGTAAATGAGATTGACTAATAAAAATAAATAACATAAAATAAAATAAATATAATCTATTAAGACCGTTAACGAGTTGATAACCAGTTGGACAAAAATACTCAATTCTTAATATTATATTAACTAAAGCCCGTATGGGCAGAAAACTCAATTCTTGTATTATTTATTAAATAAAGTATTTGAAGAGTTTATCACGCGTTGGACAGAAAAACTTATTGCTATATTTTTTTATAGCTAATCATCTCGGTTTATTCAAACATACATAGTTTCGAACCTCCTTTGGCTATCAACAATATTTACTCACAGAGGGTAATCAAAACTTATAAGTGCATAAGAATATCTTATATCACTGTTCAATAATTTTCAATTTATATTTAATATCAATAGAATAAAAGATTGCCTAAATAAAAATTAAAATTGACAATGTAAATCAAGGTTAATCACTTGTTACACGAAAACATTATCATAAAATGAAAATTCATACTTATAACATTTCATGCATTAGAATTGAGACCATGGCTCTAATACCAATAATAGAAACTTTGCAGAATCATAACTAAAAACCAATTAAGGATTCAATTCTATACATGAAAACTATATGAATTT